TTAAATAATAATTGCACAAATAGTACAGAGTGTACATATATATATTTTATCCTCCTTACCCTAATATTAACATCTTGCATAATTGTAGTTGATTTCAAAACTAAGCAGCTAACATTGATGCAATTATATTAATGGTATGGCCATATTTATTTGAATATTTCCACTATCTTTCTTCTGTGTAAGAATACAATTCAGAATACCATGCTGTTTAGGTGTCGTGCTTCTTTAATTCCAATTTGTGACACTTCAGTCTTCCCTCCAAATTCATGGCCTTGTCACTCTTGAAGTGTATGGGTCACTTTTTTTCAATTTGTGTGTGTCTAAGACTTTCCTAAGATGCAAGTGTGCATTGTTTGTCAGGAACATCACAGAGGTGATGTTTCCTTTTCCATGCATCATATCATGTGGTACATGATATTTTATTTCTGGTGTTGTTAAGCTTGATTATAGAGGTGTCATTGTTTTTCCTTTAAAAAGTTATAAAATTTCCCTTTGTAATATCATCTTGGGGGAGAGTCTTTGAGATCATACACATGTTCTTTTTCCTTCATTTGCAGACTGATTCTAGCATTCATGGGTGAATGTTTCCTGGAGTTCTTACTAGAGTGCTTGCCTCCTGGTGATCTTCTACTTTTTCTGCCTTTAGAAATTAAAATTTAGGAAGAACTGTTGCTTCTCTCCTATTTTTAAATTTATATATTTATTCAGTTGCTTGTTTATTTCATTATGGGCTTAAAGGCATATATTTTATTCTTTAGGCCATAGTACCATACTTTTATTTCTTTTGTTGATCAAATTATTTCATCTTTTGAAAATGGGAGTTCCTTTAGTTGGCTCTTGTGTGTTTCTACCATACTTCCATCCTTTTTGGATGGGTCATTGAAAAGCTCAGTGAGTGGCTATAATAATTTTTTTTTTAACTCTCTGGTATCATTAGGTTTTCCAAGATTATCTTTTGTCTTGTATTCCTGCCTCAGTCCTAGAATCAATCACATCTCTAAGGAGTATATAAATATTACAAAAATTCCTTCCAGAAAGATCATATATTGCGTTTTACTTCTGCTAGAAACTTCACCAGTATTTTTAAAAAACATTGTCAGGCTGGTAACATTTTATTAACCCTTTCTTTTGTATTCTGTTTCTGACTTTGCTGTTAGTGGTTATGAAGTAGATTTTTAAAAATAATAGTTCATAAGAAGCATTGAACTAATGAAATTTAGTGAAAATTCCCTTTGTTTAGTTCACCTTTCTAGAGGTATTATGGAAGTGCTGCATATGACAGTTTCCAGCTTATCTCTTGTATAACTGGCTCCCCTGTGCAGTGAGCACCTTTAGTGCTGTCATCATAGATTTTTGCTAGGTGCCATTTTGGCCATGAAAAATTTAAATCTTTTTTGAATGATGAATGCGTTGATTTCCCTGCTTCTTCAAAAACCTCAGATATTATTTTAAAGTTTTTTTTTTCCTGAATAAAGTTGAGAGAGGTCCAGTTAACAAGTTGTTTCAATGTCTTCCGCTTTCATATTACTCTATGATAGACTAGATATAGATATACATTTTTTGTTGTTTTGAGATGGGTTTTATGTACATTGCTTTTGTCTGTATCACTCCTTATGAAGAGACTGGCACTCTTATTTGAATTATTCAGCCACAATTTTGTCATCAAAACCATGTTGAAGAAATGCCTGAAGATCCTGAAAGATGACAAACTTGACAAATGTGAAGTTTCTATACTTGTCTGTTGTTACTTAAATAAAATGATTTGAACTCTCCTTACAATGCTCTTATCTAATAATTATTCCTTTTATCTTTATGTGGTTGAAAAAATAATTAATTCTTAAGAAGAGAGATTAGGTTTAATCTATTTTAAATTGAGATTTTGGTGGAGTTACACAATAGTGATTGTTTCACATTTATTACGGTATTGTGAATATGACAGTACTTTGTTTTTCTTTACCATAAAGATTCATTATAAATGTTATCATAAAACTGAAAAACATCAATCCTCTTTGTCTGACATTAGACATTGTTTTGATAATAGTGCTAGTCAATAAAGGGAATCAAAATCTCTAGTAAAGAACATTTGTGTAATGTAAGCTAAAATGATATTTAAATATTTTTTAGGACAAGAAATGGTGAACTTATCCTCTTTTTTCATTAAAAAAATCCATAAAGCTGTTTCAGTAATTCAGGAAGTTCCAGTCATGCAAAATTTATTTAAAACACATTGACCTAACCTTGAATGTGTTTTGAAAAAGATTGACCTTCCACAAAATTACTTTTATAGTTTATAATTTTGCCCATTCCCTTTTATTGTTTAAAAACATTATTCCAGTTCTTTCCACTTACTTACCCCTCACTATTAACAATATAATTTAAAATTTCTTACCTTTCTTGTCCATCTAAACAGATTTGCCCTATCTTTGCAGATGACTACAGTGTCTAGTAGAAAATAAAAGGAACACATAGATACCTGCGTTAGTGTTGTATCTCAATATAAAGATATCTAGTTAGCTAAGGAGTCCTTTCTATGTCAAATAAATCAAGTATTTTAGATTAAATTCTACCACTTAACTTCCATGGTTACTTTGAAATTTTTGGCATTAGAATCATCTTTTCTTGGAAAAATACACTTTGCTGATGTTTTCTTTGGTTCAGATAATATCTTAAAAGGGAATGGAAAGGCTTCAAAGTTTATTGAATCTCAGATTGTTCCATAAGACAATGATTTGATGATGATATTTTAATAATTTTAATTAAAATTTATTTTAATAAACCCATTTGTATTTTTCTTAAAATATACCTGCATAGTTTGAAAATAATTTGGAAAAAGGCATGGTTTTTTGCAGTTGAAGTTTAGAAAAATAATTCAAATATGGATGATTCATATAATTTAATAATATAGAATATAATATAAAATTTTAATTAATTAATTTATATTAATTATATTTATGATAATGTTTTATTGAGCAAGTATGGTGTGGAGTATAGGAGTGACTCTTCTGTCTTAAGAAATGTGATGAAATTCAACCCTTTTAGGAAGGGTTAATGGCATAAAAAACATTTTGTACTGCTTGGATCATAATATCTTTGTGCAGATGACTCATGATAAAGAGAGAATAAGGCCAGCCCATATAAATAATATTCAAGGTTAATTTAGAATCTCTTTTTAAGTCAATTGTGTTAGCCAGTGGTCTCTTATACCATTTACTAAGATTATCATAGAAATTATTCTTTGACTCAAGGTTTTATTTCTCTGATTTGGATTATAATTAGTAACTCTCTTGAGGTATAAAATCTTCTCATGGAATTGCTTAATTCTCATTTATTTTTGTAGACCTGTATATGAAACTATCTTTAATATTTGTAACTGTTCTAACTAGGGCATGAGGAAAAGGTGATATGGAATTTGTATCTCCTATTAATACATCTGACTATTCTAGAAATTCAATCATGTTTATTTGAAAGTTTGATAGGAGCTTGTATTTCCACTGAATTTACTAGTGAAATATATGCTGGTGAACTGTGAAGTAACTAGAAACCAGTCATCTTGAGGAAGAAAAGGTCAAAAGGCTTTTATTATTGGTATAGTTTGGATAGTTAACAATGGAAAAAAATCAATCATTTATTGAATATTAATTCATAATAAGCATAAATTTCCTTTAAAGAACTTGAAAATAAATTAAATAAATTTGAATTTGAATTACATGTACCACTAAATATTTAGTGCTTTAGGCCATTTGTTATTCAATTTGACTGGCAATTACTTACTTACAATGTAGCATGTACACTTTCAATGATAAGTTGTATCTAAATATCATGTTCAAAAATATATTTTTACATAGAAACAGTGTATATTTTATACATTATAAAAGAACTAGTTATTTTATATACAATTGTCAGGATTATATACCATAAAACAATTCATTATTTGTACATGGAAACACAAATGCGTGCTTGCCTATTTACCTTTTTAAATGCCTTGATTGATATGTGTTATACAAAGCTAATCTTTCCTGCTAGGTGTGGTGGTGCATGTCTGTAATTCCAGATACTCAAGAGGCTGAGGCAGGAGGATCACAAGTTCAAGGGAAGCCTCAGCAACTTAGTGAGTTCGTCAACAATTTAGTGAGACCCTATCTCTAAATAAAAAATAAGAAGGGCTGGGGATGTGGCTCAGTGGTTAAGTGCCCCTGGGTTTAATTTCTAGTACCACCTTCCCTGACACACCAAGCCTCTCAAAGCTCTCTCTTTCCTTCTAGTTTTTAATGTATTTTTTAAACTAACAAACTTGTTAGAAACTTATATGTGCATATAGAATATGTGTATAATGTGTATATAGAATACAAGATAACGTGTCACAATGACTAGTAACTAGTAAATTAATGAATTAAAATGGTTGCTCATCTGTGGTAAAGTCTTACCATTTTTTTTTAAAAAAAAGAAGTTCAGTTTTTTGATTATTCCACTAAAGGTCTTGAATAAATGTAAACATTCGAATTCATCCATTTTTTTGTTTTGTAGCAAGGTTTCAGGCTGAGTCAACATTTTGATGATCTCATACCTGTAATCAAAGTATACTTATTTAAATTAGGAAATTAATAATCTTTAGAATAGTGTTTATAATCTTATCATTTGTTCTGGGATATCCTGCAGGTACTTATAAGCTTCTATTAGAATTCTTCATAGGAACATTTACCCTATCCATTATTCTAAGAAAAAGCAAATGCATAAGAGAAACAAAATAAGATTTATTTATTCAAATATTTTAGAGGCCCTTTGGAGTATAATTTGAAATTACAGTTTTACAACAAAAAAGAAATGGCTCTAATCTACCTAATACTTCATACAGTAAGTGATGAGGCATAAGAAAGAGATCTTTTGATTTCAGAAATAGTATTTAATATTTAATATTCAGAAGCAATTGAGAACTGGAAGAGACTGTTTTTTATGCTACATTAATCCATAAACTTTCCTTAAAAAGAAATAGAAAAAAGTACCTGTTGGGCCAGATGTGAACATCACTTTATTTATTGGTATCCATGTGCTGGAGCTTTATTCTCACTTAAGATTTTATGCTTCATTGAGACTCTGGGATTTGATGAAATGAAATTTGTTAAAAATTCCAGATACACACCAGTAATATTTTTTGTACTACAAGCATCTTATGATAATATTTGCCCATAGCTAATATACTCATACTTACACCTTTATATATGTATAGATTATTACAACAAATTCAATGATGAGAAATGTATAGGAAAGAGAACACATTGACCATTTTGGTTTTCCTCAAGTGAATTGGTGATTTTAATGTTGATATCACTTTCTAATTTCATGTTTCCTTCTCAAAAGCTATTATAATGGTTTTATATTATGTGACTAAAGATACAAGAGTTCATCTTTAGTTATTTTGGACAAAGCCTTCACAAGAAAACACTGTGTTGTTTGGAATCTGTTATATATTCAAGAAGCTATGACTTTTTTAAAAATGTAATATTCCCAAAGAATTTAGTGTTGGCTGAACATTCAAACTGAAAACCAAGTCAAGTAGTTTTACATAAAGCTGAGAGCCAGTCAAAATACTGAGCAGTGAATATTTATCGAATGATAAGGGTGTGTTCAGAAACTTCATCTTAATTCTTATTTGCTTTTGGGGACCTATATTATATACAGAGCTCTCTTTAATATTAGTCATTGTTTACTTATGGATAAGGAAAAGGTGATAGGTAACTTATATTAATGCATATGAATATTTTAGTTTAAATTAAATGATGCTTGAGAAAAGATTTGACAAAAGATTAAAATTCCACTGAATTTAATAGTGAAATGTGCAAAATTTGACTACTCCAACAAAAGTTTATAGCTTCTAATGGTAATGGCTTTTTGGGAAAAGTCTATGTTATTTTGTGCTCTGTTTAAAATGTAGCCAAAGAGATACATTAAGTTTCTTTAAGAGGTCCCAAATCAGGCTAGAGATGCATGAAAGTAAAGTAAGGTTATGGCTCACAATAAAAATATAGAATATCCCCTGTTTGGACCCCTTGGCTTAATGCCACTATAGACTAGTTAGATTACTTTGTGACATTCTTCAATTTGAGAAACTTAAATTTACTTGATAATGCCTTTAAACAAATTGACTCTTAGGATGCTAAAAATAAAACAATACAAGATTTTCTCTTTAATTTGTTTTTAACCAATTGAATGGGAAATGTTTTGATGCGGGGAAGCAAACAATCACAGAATAAGTTAATGATTTTCACACTATGATTTTTAGATACTGTGTAAGTCTTTATAGTTATACATTTAGACCTCAAATTCATTCTTGCATAGCCCATTGACTTGAAAGTCCTATGTGTGAGCCAAAAGAAATTTGAGGCCAGATACAGAGGTCCATGCCTGTAATCCCAGGAATTTGGGAGGTAAGGCAGGAAGATAACAGGATTAATGACAGCCTAAGAAACTTAGAGAGACCCTGTTTCAAATATTTTGGCATAATTATGCAAGCATGGGATATAATTTGCTTCAATTCAGTACTTAGTACTTTCTCTTTCCCTTACTTCCCCTTTTCACCTTTCCCCATTCCCATTCCTCTATTCTACTTATCTTTCTTATATTAATTTATAGTTTTAAAAATCAAATTATCGCATTTTAGATATACATAAAGCTTAAATTCACTGTAGTATATTCATATATGTACATAGGATAATTTGCTCAGTTTCATTCTACTGTTTCTTCCTTTTCCCATCCTCCTCCTTCCCCCATGACCCTTTTTCTCTACCCGTAAACAATTTTTTTTCTATTTTCAGGGGATTCCCAGTTTCTCCTTTTCCTTATTTTGATCAAGGTTCCACATATATGAGAAAACATTTGACCCTTGACTTCCTGGGTCTAGCTTATTTCACTTAGCATGATGTTCTACAGTTCCATCCATTTACCAGCAAATGCCATAATTTCATTCTTCTTTATGCTGACTAAAACTTCTTTGGGAGTTTATATCACATTGTTTTTATCGATTAATCTGTTGATAGGCATCTAGGCTGGTTCCATAACTTGGAAAATTGAATCATGATGCTATAAACATTGATATGGTTGTGTATCTATACCTATTTTGATCTTTCAAATAAATAACACAGTGGGATAGCTGGGTCATATGGTGATTCTATTCCTAGTTTTTTGAGGAATCTCCATACTGCTTTTTGGAGTGGTGGTGCTAATTTGTAGTCCTATATACAATGTATGAGTATACATTTACCTCTTGATTACATATTTTTAAATGTCTAAATAAGTAAGTATATATATTTTGCAATCAGCACTGCTGATAAGGCTTTAAAACTTTAGCAAATGACTTATCCTTTATAAATTGATTGCTTCAAAATTAGGCATATATATTTTTATCTTTGATATATTGACAAATGCTTATGGAAAACTTACCTACTGAGTTATAAAAGCATTTCACATTGGTTGAATTTTAGCTTGTTTTATACAGGTATTATTTCTGGAATTTTCATTTTCTTAGGTAGCAAGAGATTTAGAAGACAACATAATTTATAACATTTTCCTCATTTATTCAGTTCCAGAATAGGTACCATTCTTTTAGCTGTGGTGTATTCTTTATGCTCAGAGATTTTAGAGAAGGCTTTTGAAAAATCAACTTTTTCTTTTTCTAGAATGATTATACAGGATCTTCTTAATTAAAGATTGTTAATGTGGTTGTTCTCATTTGAAGAAACCAAACTATCCTAATTTTAACTTTGAAATTAGATATTTCCTCAGATGTTTTTGTGACCACATAGGTAATAACACTTACATGCCTATCATGTTTAATAGTGTTGTAATTCTTCACACAACTGAACACATTAATTTCAGGTATTTCAGCCTGTCAGAGTGATTGTCAAGGAACATATTTATTTTGATATCCAAATTAGAAGAAGAAATGAAACACAAAGAATCTGAAATATTAATTTATAATCAAGATAATGTGTTTAAGACAATGCACAAGTCTCAGTTTTATGCACATAATGGAAATGGTAAAAGTAACTTTTTGGTATTATGCTTGATGAATAGTTTAGAGCATCTAATACGGAATAATTTGTATTTTTAAAGTAGTGTAGATGTCCACCAAAATATTAAGTCATTTTCAAGACCACATTAGAATGTACAAATTAATTTCTTTAAGAAAAGAACTCCTGGAAGGAAATGGAAGCACAGCATGTGAGAAACCCAGGTTAACTGAGCTAAATATAAAAGTATTAGCATGGCATGACATTATTGTAATTCTATTTCAGATTTGTTTTCTCTGAAGATTTATTTTCCTTAAAATTGAATTATTGGTAATTTCTTTTTTTAATTTCCACTTTTTAAATTCTAATTTGTTATACATGATAGAGAATGCAATTCAATTCATATTATACATATAGAGCACAATTTTTCATGTATCTGGTTATACACAAAGTAGAGTCACACCATTTGTGTGTCTTCATACATGAACTTAGGGTAATGATGTCCATCTCATTCCACTGTCTTTCCTACCCTTCTGCCCCTTCCCTTTGCCTCCCTCCCCTTTGCCCTATTTAAAGTTCCTCCATTCCTCCCATGCTCCCCAACCCCATCCCCATTATGAATCAGCATCCTTATATCAGAGAAAACATTTGGCATTTGGTTTCTTGGGATTGACTTACTTCACTTAGCATGATATTGTCCAACTCAATCCATTTACCTGAAAATGCCATGATTTTATTCTCTTTAATACTGATTAATATTCCATTGTGTATATATACCACATTTTCTTTACTCATTCATCTATTGAAGGGTTTCTAGTTTGTTTCCACAACTTAGCTATTGTGAACTTATGGATTTTTTACATCATAAATCTTTCTGACAAGTTGGGTTAGAGAAATGAGCCAGTTTCATGGACCACTCCCTACCATTACTTGCTGCAGTGTGAAGATCCCAAATTCTGCTAACCAGCACAATGCTATATTTAAAAACTCTTCAAAACTTCTTTTATTAGTATTATAGCATCCATACATTTTTTTCAAAATATTGCTGTATCTATGATCTAATTTCTGCCTCTTCTCCCTTGTGTCTCTGTGAAGAATGTAGGGCAGCTAGCATTATTTTTCAGAAAAAATAGTGAACAAAATCAGGCCCATCTGGTGGTATGTAATTTGACCATGATGCAGGAAGTTATTGGCAAAACCATAACTAGAACATAAGTGTCTTGATTATTAATTTGCTCAACATTTTTTTGTTACTTTGAAATGGCAGCATTCTCATATTTTTCCTCATTGAGTGTATAAGTGTACTTTTCAAGACAAATATCTTACATTGTTACTTATCATTCAAATATTTTCTGGAAACATACAGTGTGTTCTAGTGAAAGGATCTGTGTGTTATTTTTTGGATTATTATTATTACTGACACTCTACTAAATAATAAACAAAACAAAAATGTTATTTAAAATAAAGAAATTCCTGATACTTAACAATAAATATTGTTTACTTGTAAGCAGTTGATCACCACCCTGAGTGCTGTTTCCTTCACCCTTCCCAGAATTAACCACTGTTCTCAGTTTAGTGAGTATGCTTCTAGACCTGGTGTGTGCCCAGAGACAATACATAATGGAGGTGCTTACCAAACTAGCATTCTACTAATGGTTTTTAATTAAGTAGTATGTTTCTGAGAGCTGTATATTTTGATGATTGATCCACATGATTATTTATCTGTTGCATATTCCATAGTCTCTGTATGATAGACATTTACATAAATTGTTACCTATGTTTTTCCTTCTACATATAATGCTGCAGTGACAATTTTATGTATGTTTTCTTTTGTTGGATGTTTAGAAAATTGACTTCTAGATTGGCTTTTACCCAATTTATATGTAGTCTTTGAGATTTTTTTGTTAACTTGTGACTTCCTTGAATTGTACTATCATAAAATATTGTTTTTCCACTATATGGATTACAAATAATATGTAAATATTTTTAAAATCTGTATTTCTTGAGAATATATTTTCTGTCATATTGGGAATTGCCTATTCATGTTCTTTTCAACATAAAAATAGACTATTTCTCGTAGAATCTTAT